CCTGCCAGCCGGCCCCGAACCCTGGCGGGCGCGCTCCGCGGCTCCCGCAGGCGCCAGCAGGACGGAGGAGCCCTCCCGGCCGCCGGGCTCCGACCTGGGAAGCGGCGGGCCGGCTGAGAGCGAGCCTTTCCGTTGGCGGGGAGTTGCTTGTCCTGAGTCCTGGGCCCGCGACCTGACCGCTGCTCTCCCGCCCGCCCGGGAAAGTGTGCTGCGGCGGCGAGCACGGGGGAAGGGAGCCGGGTGGCAGGGACACCCGCCTCCCCGCGTGCCCTGTCCTCGGCCCCCGCGGTGCCTGGCGCAGTCACTGCCCAGCACACGGAAGGAGCGATCTGACGGGTCCAGCACCACTGCCCCGGAGAAGTTTAAGGTGACTGGCTAAGGCGAATGTAGAAAGTTCACTTCAGCAACCCAGTGAACCTCAGACAAATTCTTCACATATATCTGGTTTGAATCTCCCCTAGGCTTCAGGCCAAGCCCCGAATGGCTGGTCTCCAGTTGGCTCCTCAATTGCCTGTGGGCGTTATGTTCCCACATAATAAAACGGAAGCTCCAGGGCTCCACTCAGCCAAGCAAGACCCTTATGAACAAGGTGACTCTTCCCAGCAGTCTTCCTCGGGGCACTTGAAGAGTTCTCAGCAGAAGCCTTTGAGCAAGAGAGAGCTGGATAATGTCTACACTCACCCCAAACGGAACACCTGCACAAAGGCCCGGAGCCGCTTCTCTTCCCAGTGTGCTGGAGTAAGCCAGAGAAACTCGGGAAGCAATGCCCAGGGCCAAGGAAAGGGCTGCTTGTACTCTGCAAGCCCTCAGTCCGGGTATCGCAAAGCAAATGACCAGGACTTCATCCCCTTTACAAAGAAACGAGTTGGGGTGGACCGGGCCTATCCCTTGAAGCCCATGGTCCACCGGAAATCTCGTAGTACAGGGGAGGCTGGCACTGACAGGTACCAGAATGTCTACCCAAGACCCCTTGAGCTGGGAGAGTTTTCAGACAGCAACTCTGGTTTGAGGAAGTGGGTGAGTTCATCTGTTCTGGCCTCCATGCAGCGGGAGGCCATGGCAAACCTCCACAGGACCGAGCGGATGCAGCTTCAAAGACTGGAAGCTGCAGGGGAGAGCTTAGAAGAGGAAATTCGAAGAAAGGAGATTCTCCTGAGGGAAAAGTTGAAGAAGACAGAGGAAGAACTCAGAAGGATCCAGAGGGAAAAGGAACAGGCCAAAGAAAATGAAGAGCGCGAGCTGCAGAGAATGATACAACTCAGAAGAGGTAAAGGCAGTAACAGCAACACCACAAACAAGCCTGTCTTTTCCCCAGAATGTGGGACTGAAGAGGTGTTCAGTAGAGACTGGAGAGAGGATGAGACTTGGGGACAGCCTCAGGAAAATTCTAGTCCAATCCAGCTCTCTGATTATAGAATTCAGAGGCTCAAAAAGGAAAGGCTAGTGGCAAGCAATAGCAAAATCCGAGACGCAGCCTCCAGGCCATTGGAGAAGTTCTTTCAGCCTTCGGAAGAAGCAGGCAGTCATTTGCAGGGATCCACCAGAAGTGCTCGCCTGTCCAGGGCACCAGAGTCCTCACGTTCCAGCGGCTGCACTGAAGAAGAGCCAGAGCTGGGCAAGTGCAGCCACTGTGGACGCACATTTCTCTTGCTCAGGCTGGAGAGACACTCTGCCATCTGCAGCAAGATGCAGGGCTCCAGGAGGAAAGTGTTTAACTCCTCCAGAGCGCGGGCGAAGGGCACAGAACTAGAGCAGTACATGAACTGGAATGGGCCAGCCACAGTGAAGGTAATAAGAGCTGCACGGGTCTGACTTTGTGTGGGGATCACCATAGGGGCCTGTCATGTCCTCTTCGGTTTTCTTTAGGGAAAACTCAGGTGCCATGTGGGAAGAAGGTGAGAATTAATGTTTCTTGATTACTACTGTGTGCCAGTCACTGTGACAGGAGCTTTTCCTGTGATCCTTTAGATTCTGAGGATCTCATTATCACTCATTTATCAGCTCCAAAGTTAAGACTTGGAGATGCTTACTCAGGTAGGAAGGCTTGTACAGGTTAAGTAACGTTCATGAAGTCATAGCTTTAAGTGAAAGGGCCAACATGTAAATCTTGGTTGGATTAACTTCAAAATCTAGACTTAAAAAATATGTCCTTTTGATTTAAAAGTAGTATGTGTTTAAAAAATTGATAAATTTCAAAACATGATACATCTAAAGAAAAAGCTATGAACACAATATTCATTTTCTTGGTTTGCCAAGAGAACTTCTTGCTCTTTGCAGTGTACTCTGCCACCTCCCAGGAATAGGGTCTGTTACCACTCCTTTAGCTGTGTCCACTCTTTCAAGTTTAGCTCAGTTTCAATACACTTTAATGGATGCATAAAGCACATCTGAGTTTGGGATTATTTTTCTGTTTATTTAGAGTATGAACACCTTCAGGGTAAAAGATTCTCTTTTTGGTTATCTTTCAAAACATCACTTAGAAAAATCAAGTTATTAAGAGTTTTAAGACACATAAGTTCAGGAGAATTTCATAAGTACATCTGGACAAATTTGGATAAGACTGTCTCATAAATAACTATCAAGGTTATGCTACTCATTTTTTTTTTGTTGTTTGTTTGTTTTTCCAGTACCAGGAGTTGAACTCATGACCTCGTGCTTGCCAGGCAGGCGCTGTGCCGCTGAGCTAAATCTCCAGCCCCATGCCACTCATTTTTTGAAATGAGTATTTCTTAAGCTGTTGTGTACTGACATTTTTTATTTTAGTAGTTTTAGTGTGTGTTAGAGAAATGTAACAGCATATTAAACCTGTAATTTCTGAGGATCATGAATTTAAAGAAAATATTACTAGTAAGGAGAATAAAGTGATCAAATTTGGGGAATGCCTAGGCCATTTGATCTCAAAGGGTTCATATAGCTCTAATCTAGAAAAATTAAAATGTGTCTCATTTTCTTTCTTTTCCAGCCCTTCCTCTGCTGTTTTGGTACTTCTTGTCCATCAGGACTTTACTGTTCCATGTATATTTGCTGAGGCCTTTTAAAAACTCACATGGCTGTGATGGTTGGTTGTTAGGAGATGTACAGGACTTTGCAGTTAGAATTCTTTCCGTACAGTCTGGGAGATCACCACAAGAAAGTCGCTCCCATGTTCAGAGGTAATCTAGCATCCAACAAGAAGTCAGCAGCTTGTACTGGTAGATAATAATAGGACAGCCAGTCACTGCTCCTTCCTGTTTTCTTTTTGGTCAACCCAGCAGTCCACTGGGGATTCCCCATGTCCGACCACAGCAGTTTATATTTGGCCAGAACCTAAGAGAATCTTGTGGTTCTTGAAGTTCCTAAATATAGTGGCAGGGAAGCAAAAGACTTGGGTTTCTGTGAACAGACACCCTCGCTTTGGGGAAACCAGTTTGCCGAAATGTGTTTCATTGAGGACACTGAGGCAGAAAGGACCTGGTTTGAGATAGATCTCCTCCTGCTAATGTCCCAAGTCTTAGTCTAGAGCTCTGTTTCTTTGGAAGCTGTTTGTATCTCCATTGTCATTTCTCTTTATTTATAAGAAGCAGTGATTTTTAAAAATCTTTACGTAACTTCCAGCAGACTTGCATATCTTGTCTACTATGTATACTGGGAGCATTTGAGGCCAGGAGCCACACACATCTTAGTGCTCAATGTGTTAACTGAATATAATCTCAATATAAATTAAGAATTAAGGGGCTGAATGTGTAGCTCAGGGGTAGAGCATTTGCCTAGCATGCCGGAGGGCTTGGGTGAAGCCCCAATACCAGGGAAAAATATTAAAATATAGGTATCATCATACACTTGAGGAATCTTCCCCTAGCGGAATTCTTTTAAAGGTTCCTGGATACCATTGCTCACACCAGATCTCTGGCCTTCTCTGTTTCTGTTTCAGAAGGATCTTTCCTAATCCGTTTCTTTTTTTTTTTTTTTTTGTCTTTTTGAGACATCTTGCTGTGCAGTTCAGGCTGGCCTTGAGCTCACTCTGTAACCCAGGCTGGTCTTGAACTTGCAACGATCCTCCTGCCTCAGCCTCCCGAGTGCTGGAATTACAGGCGTGCGCCACCACGCCTGGCCTCTTCGTAATCCTTTGATAGTAACTTTTGCTGTTACCAAGAGCTCTTTGGCTTCTTTTCCTTTTTTCATTCTGTAAAAATTAATTTTAAGTGATATTGCATGCCTTTTAGAAATCATGTCTTCCTAAGTGATCTATGATGCAGATAAGCAGTGTCCTGTCTTAGCCTTTTCTGGACTCTAGTCCAGCCCCAGTCCTGTTAGGTGTTTTTTCTGGTATGCATTTTCATATCTCAATTAGTGTTTATTTTCTGGATTTGCCCATTTTCTATGTGGTCCAGAGACTTTGTGTGGGACTGAACGAAGCTATCTTTCATCTTGTCTCCTGTTACCAGAATCCTGTGTCTTCTATTTTATTGCTTCATTCTTTGCTTTACTAAAAAATATACACACAAAGAATATTTTAAAAAATTTTATAATGATTGTGCTGGATACTTAGTAAGCCATTTCAGGCTCAAGACTTATGACCTTTAATTCTAGAAAAATGAATGAAAATATCTGTATAACAGCTTACATGATTATTTGGCTGGGTTTAGAATTCTAGGTGGAAAATTATTTTATTAGAGCTTTTAGGGCATTTACCACTAGCTTTTAGCATTTAGTGTTTACTGTTGAGAAACCAGATGTCGTCTTGATTCCTATTTCCTTATCTGAAACCTGTTTTTGTTTTTTTTCCTGAATGCATATAGGCTTTTTTAATCGCAAAATTTTATAATAATTGTGCTCAATACTTGGAAAGCCATTTCAGTTTTAAGGTTTATGGCCTTTAATTTGAGGAATGCAATACTGTTTCTTTAATAATTTTTCCCTGTAAGTTCTCTGTTCTTTTTGGATGCCTATTGATGATATGTTAGACTTCCTGGATTGCCTTTCTAATTTTCTAATCTTTTCTACTTTCCATTTTCTTTTTTCCCTAAGGAATTTTTTTTTGTTGTTGTTACCGGGAATCAACTCAGGACCTTGTGCTTGCCAAGCAGATGCTTATGCTGCTGAACTATATCCCCGCCCCAAGGAATTTTTTTTAACATTATTTTATAACATTTCTATTTTGTTTTTACTTTTAGCTATCAAAAGTTTTAATTTATAATGTATTTGGTTCTTCAGTTTTTTGTTTTCTTTTGTCTTTTTGAGACAGGGTCTGACTATGCAGTTCAGGCTGACCTTGAGCTCCCTTTCTTTTTTTTTTTTTTTTTTTTTTTGGTTTTCTCCGGTACCGGAAACCGAACTCACGACCTTGCGCTTGCCAGGCAGGCGCTTTTACCCTGAGCTAAATCCCCAGCCCCTCTAATGTATTTTTATTATTACTTTTTATTGTCTGTAATTG